ACAGCACTATGGTAAGTACAGGAGGCAAAAATAACTGACACAGGCCCTGGGGTCAAGGATTTCCAAATTTTAAGAAATATTTCTCCAAAGCAGATGCTTTTCATACAAAGAAAAGCTTAAATAATTTATTCAGTGAGCTCTTTTGAAAGCTGTAAATTTGTTGTATTCTTCCTATCTCAGAGGTGCCTAATTAAAATATATATGTCTTTATATTTTTTGATAGGAGAAGGCACTTGGCATCTAATCCTGTTGCTCATTGAATGGCTTTGGAAAATCATTTCACTTCTCTGAAGTTCCATTTTTCCATCTATAAAATAAAGGGTTTGAGCTAGATGATGTCTAAGGTGCTTTCCAGCTCTAATAACCTGTGCTATCAATCCAAAAAGTGACTGTTCTATTCTTGCCTTGTTCATAAGCTGATTAGCAACATTCTGTGCAGAGCAATTTGGAGGAAGAATAAAATAAATCTTCCTTCATCCAAAAAGTCTGCTTCTACCTGCTAGAGCTCCTGTCCTGAAATACTCCTTCCTGAGAATGTCACTTTATGACTTTAATCCTCACTATACTGAAAATTATCCAGGAAGATGTTTTAGTAGCTTATTATTTCTTTTTAAGTCTTTGTGTATAACAAGAAGCAGGTGGGGGGAAGGCACAGCTGGGATGAGGGGCAATGGTGAAAATGGCTAGAGGATGGGGGCTGTAACAGAAGCCAAATTTCATCTAGTTATTAAATGAACTGGATCTAAACTAGATGAACTAGATGTAAACCTAAAATTAGATCTAGTTTGAATATTGTCTGTATCTGAGCAATGGCAAAATTAAGCTAATGCAGTCAACATCTTGCATCAGAAGCCACAGGCTGTGAGTGGTCCCTGTGGGCTCCCTCCCCACTGAGGATGGGGGAACAATTGCTGGCCAACAGCCTGGCACTGGAAGGGAGCAAGCCTGCCATGGTACAGCACTGGCAGGGGAGTGGTGAGATAGGGTGCCAAGCCCTGCTCATACCCTCACCTACTGCCCTATCCCCCAGACGAGACTCCAGACCACCCGGAAGCACAAACATAATTCTATAGTAGCCTTGGTTTTCTGTGAATGCTGCACCAGAATTACTTTCTATTCTTCACTAGTTGCCCATCTTTCTCTCTTCTCTTCTCAGTTCCCACCTGCACCACAACCACCTTCACTTTGTCTATCCAAACCCTCTTCCTCTATTTGCAGGAGGAGGGAAGCCCTGTAATTGCTAGGTGCACCCAGCTGTAGGATTATTGGCTAATTGGGCAGAGGCTGATAAAATACTTCTTTACAAGTGGAAGGAGAGGGGGATAGCAAGCAGCCCTCATTGAAACTCTCATTGATGAAGAGGTGGAGGAGTGTTCCTAGCCTCCCCCACCAAGGCTTGGCACCCCCTTTCCTAGACTATACCTTCTGGAGGTGAAGGAGAACAGAACTCAATAGAAGTGGGCTGCATCCTAAATTTCAAGCATGTCCAAAGTCCCAGTTGAGCCTTAACCACCTTTAATAAGTCCCAAGATCATGAAAAGTTGACTATACATATGTTTTAACCTTGATGCATACCCTCCTCTCAGCATGCCCCTCCTGCCCCTACTCTGCATGCTATATTATGGCTGAGGACAAAGAATAGGTCAGGCAGCCAAGCCTGGTCATTTATTTATTTATTTATTTATTTTTACCTTCCTGTGGTTTGCCAGAATTTTGGTTGACTTGGACTGAAATACTACCCTTTCATTATCTGCTAACGATTGTCACTAAATGATGCATTTGAGTTTCCAGAAATATGGTGAAATTTCAAAATCTTGTATTTTGAGAAGAGAGCTGCCTCCATCAGTATTTTCATACAATGGTATATTAGCAACTAGAACTAGAACCAAACTACTATAGAAACAAAATACCAGTTCATGAATCTGTTCATTTTTAACCCTAATGTATACTTTACATGGGCTTTGCCAAAGAACTATGGAAAGTTGTGATCCATTCATTTGTCAGCACTAAGGGTGCACTGCCTGAGAAAGCCCGAGTGGAGACTAAGATGACCCAGGCACTGGTATCAAGGACAGAATTCAGGCTGCAGCTATAGACTGAGGGGGAATGCGTTCAGGCAGAGTTCATTCTGTTCTCTGCCACTTTAAACCTTCAGGTGGCCCCTCATTGCCTGTTCTTTCCCAGGTGCCCTCCTTAGCATGGCATAAGGGGATCTTCACCATCTGAGCTTGCATAATTCTCCAGCTCTGCCCTCTCCACCTCCCTGCCTGCCTCCTGAACTCCAACCACAGGTAGCTCCTAACACATCCTCAGACTCCAGGCCTCTGACATGATAGTTCTGCTGCCAGCACAGCACTTCCCTCACTCCCACTCCTTTAAGACACCATGCTATCTCCTTCTGGAACACATCCCTAATTCCACTAGGATGAGAAGTTTATCATGCAGTATTTAAATTATGTGTTTACTTTTCTGTGTCCCTCTGCACTGTGAGTTACTTGAGGGTAGGAGCTGGATCTTTATGGCTAAGTATTTCCAGTCCTAGCATAGGTCCTGACACATACCAGGCATTTAGTAAATAATTGCTGTATAAAGAAAACTGGAAAATGTGGTATACAACAACTTCTCAGGACTTAGAGACTACTCAGAGATGGGAAAAACAAGAGCTAAGAGTCAGTGTGGCCTGTTCAGCTGAGGGGAGGAGAACTGGGTACCTCTTAACCTACATGGGTGGCTCAGGAGCTGGTGAGTGGATTCTGGGAGTGGGCCAACCTTCTAAACCTAGAAGGCTTCCTGCTCAAGGGAGCTGTAGGTAAGTACTAGAAGGCAAGACTCTGAAGCCCATTGTCTAACATTATTTCTATGTGTTTTTTCTGTCTATTCATAAATAGATGTCTGGAATGATGGTCACCCAATGTCAGTGATAATTACTTCTAAATCAGGAGATATTTTCTTTCATTTTCTTTTTTTACTTTGTTTATATTTTTATTTTGTATTTTTTAACATAATTAGCATCAATGACTGTGAATGGAATATTATTCAGCCTTAAAAAGGAATGAAATCCTGACACATGCTAGAACATGGATGAACCTTGAAGACTTTATGCTACATGAAATAAGTCAGACATAGAGATAATATGTATGATTCCACCTGTATGAGGTCCCTAGAGTGGTCAAATGCATAGAGATAGAAAGTAGAACAGTGGTTACCAGGGGATGAGGGAAGGGGAATGAATGAATGTTTAATGGGTAGAGTTTCAGTATGGGATGATGAAAAAGTTCTGGAGATGTATAATGGTGATTGATGATTGCACAAACAATGTAAATGTACTTATTGCCACTGAACTGTATACTTAGAAAGGGCTAAACTGGTAAATTTTATGTTATGTAAATTTTACATTATATATATTTTACCACAATTGAAAAAAAGAACTGAGAGGTCAGAGATCTAACCCTATTTGCAAACTAATAAGTGAGTCTGCTACAATTTCATGGATGCTGCCAGAAGAAGTGGTAAGACAGAGGCAAAGAGCAATAGCAACAGCCACAGCATCAGCCTGTCCTTCACTGGTTTGCCAACCCCCTGTTCCCACAGGGCAACATGAAGAGGCTGATGACACCTGTACTCCCAGTAGGCTTCATCACAGGAGAGGAATCTTGACCTTTTATGGTAAGCATTAAGCATACCTGCTGCAGAGGGAGAAAAGCTCCTTATTATACTGGATAGCAACCATATCTGTATTTTGCTCTGGCTAGAGACACTTTCTGTCTTCAAAGGCTGTTCACTGTACAAACAACCCTGAAAAAGCAGCCTGGAACAAAGGAGAGTGGAGCCTTGTCTGAAACATGTGAAGAAACATGAGAGACCCATGGAGAATTGTCTCCCAACAATGAACATGTGCTATTTTTTACAAAACAATAAAGGGTTTTTCCTTTTCTAAAATGACAACCAAACTAAAGATCAGCAGATCTGACTCTCCAGTTTCAATTTATTTTGAATTATCTTTTAACAATTTATAGCAGTATAATTGATACATCATAAAATTAATCCATTTTAAGATTGAAGCTCAGTAAGTTTTAGCAAATTTATATGATTGTACAACATCACCAAAATCCAATTTTAAAACACTTTCATCACCCCCAAAAGTTCCCTCATGCTTGTTTGCAGTTAATCTTTGGTCCCATCTATGGTCTAGGCCTGATCAGGTCACTGACCTGATTTTTGTCTCTATAGTTTAGAATTTTCTAGAAATTTCACACAAATGGAATCATACAATATGTCATCTTTTGTGTCTGGCTTTTTCACTTAGCAAGTTGTTTTTGATTTTCATCCATGTTGTTACATGATTCAGTACCTTGTTTCTTTTTATTGCTGAGAAGTGTTTCATTGAAAAATACACCACTTTTTGCTTATCCATTTATCAATTATTGGATGTTTGCATTATACCAAGTTTGGGGCTATTATAAATAATGCAATTTTGAATTTTAAAATTGATTTTTTTCTTATATAATTAACCAAATGAAGCATCAGAACACTGACTAAAAATTATCGATACCTAACACTTACATAGTACTTACTATTTGCCAGGTCATATCATAACTGCTTTATATGTATTAGCTTTATTCTTCACAACAGTCTATAAGGCAGGTACTATTATTATTATGCCCTTTGTACTGATGAGAAAACTGAGGTACAGAGAAATTCAGAAACTTGCTCTAAGACACACAGCTAAAAATGGTTAGAGCCAGATTCAAATTCATAAAACCCAGATCGAGTTAATATGCTTAATTGTATGCAATAGTCCATCATAAATTTAAGATCATTTCTGATAAAATTCTGTAACTTTCTCAATTATTTTAATAATGTAGACACCATTTTTATATTAAAACAGGTATATGTCTCTGTGTTTCCTTCTTCTCTTTCTTTTATACCCCATGTTCCCTTTCTTTCCCCAATCCACACTGAAACAGAAAAAAAAGGTGCAAAACCAAAACAAAACCAACCTTTAGACTCCGTAGTTTCAGACTTGCAAGCTTCCAATGCTGGCGTTTTCTATGCTGATCACCAGATAAGACGGGGCCTGAAAAGAAGAAGAAAAAGGCAGAGTAGCCACTAGAACAGGAGAGCAAGGATCCCAGGATGAGTGACCCTCAATCTGGAAGGAAAAGGACCTTTGGTGGAAAGAACAAGGGAGTAGAGAGAAGGAAGGAGGATAATTTATCCTTAAAAATGGGCTCTTAGGCCAGGCGCGGTGGCTCACGCCTGTAATCCTAGCTCTCTGGGAGGCCGAGGCGGGCGGATTGCTCAAGGTCAGGAGTTCAAAACCAGCCTGAGCAAGAGCGAGACCCCGTCTCTACTATAAATAGAAAGAAATTAATTGGCCAACTGATATGTATATAAAAAATTAGCCGGGCATGGTGGCGCATGCCTGTAGTCCCAGCTACTCGGGAGGCTGAGGCAGAAGGATCGCTCGAGCCCAGGAGTGTGAGGTTGCTATGAGCTAGGCTGACGCCACGGCACTCACTCTAGCCTGGACAACAAAGCGAGACTCTGTCTCAAAAAAAAAAAAAAAAAAAATGGGCTCTTAAACTTGAGGATAGCCATAGTGCAGCTAAGTGAAATAAGCCAGAAGGACAATTACAGCATGACTCCACTTCCATGAAGTACCTAGAACAGTCAAGGTCATAGAGACACAAAGTAGAATGGTAGTTTCCAGGGGCTGTGAGGGTGGCCTGGGGAGGGGGGATTAGGGGTTAGTGTTTGATGGGTATGAAGTTTCAGCTGGGGGTGATGAAAAAGTTCTGGGGTGGGTAGTGGTGATGGAGGCAAAATAATGTGAATGTACTTAGTGCCAGAGAATTCTACACTTAAAAATGGTTAAAATGGTAGATTTTATTATGTTATATACATTTCACTATAATAAAAGAAGGGACAAGGGACTCTTGTTGATCTATCACCATTCAGCAGTCCTGGACGTTGATAACCTTTCCTTTCACTACAGAAATGGGAGACTTGGACACCTGGTCTCCACCAGGTGTGAAGAGCATGAAAGGAGAACTGTGCCCCTCCCTAGGGGTCTCCATGATGAGCAGCAACAAATGCACCAGTATCACACTTGGTTCTCATCAACATTCTTCCCTGTCCATGGCTGCCCTTTCAATAACAATTAATTAATGCATTGTATTACTCCCCCATAATGTGTTACTAGTCTCTAAATGTTGAGCATATGGATATTTCCAATCATTCACCAGGACCAGAAGTTGGAAGCATGCATTATGGGTGTCTTCATTTTCAACCTAGCTCTTTTATCACCTCTGTGTGTGTCCTTTTGAACAGACTTTTAGCGTATCTGGTTCTGGTTTTTTCACAGATCCTGGAATACAGTGAGATTAGAAAAGTTGTTCTCCTTCCTGGCTACACATTAGGGTCACCTGAGGAGCTTTTAACAGCACTCAGGCTGAGGCCATATTCCAAGACAATTAACTCAGAATCTCTGGCATGGGACATGAACATGAGTATTTTTTAAAAGCCCCTAAATAATTCTAATATGCAGCCCAAGAGAAAAAATAATATCTTAGGTCTCTTGCAGTTCTAAAATGGTGAAAGCCTCTGAATTAAAAAGAAAGCTATAAATATTTTGTACAAATAGAAGTATTATTCATTTTCAATTACCTTCTTGGGAAGTATTTTCCAAGAAGGTACTGTGAATTGAAGGGTACGTTTTATGAGATTGCTATTTGGAATAATTAGGCTAATCTATAATGCCACCAACTAAATATGAATGTACTCTTTCCTCATACCTCATCAATATTGAGATATTTAATTAATTTGTTTTAGAAAGTTTAACAGATGTGAGATGTATCTCAGCTATTTTTAAATGTATTTTAAAAATTCTTTGTGAGGCTGGACATTTCCTTAAATGTTAGCCCACTATTTGGCTTTCTTCTTGTGTGAGCTATCCTTTGACCTTTGCCATGGAGATTAATTATTTTTCCTGAGATCGTTATTAATCTGTTAATATAAAAATAAAATATCTACCATTAGTTGAGGCCTACTGGGGGCCAAATACTGTACCAGTGCTTTGCAGATATTATTTTATTTTTTACAAAATCTCTCCAAGTCAGTTATCATCCCCAAGTTAAAAATGAGAAAACTAAGGTTCAGAGAGGTTAGGCAAGTTACCCAAAGCCACACAGCTAGTAAAAAATAGAGCTGGGATTTGAATCCAATTCCAAATGGCTCTAAAGTTCCATTCTCTTTGCTAGACAGCATCCAAGTTTCTCTGGAGAGAGTTGTCAGTGTGCTGTGCACCAAGCCCCCTAACCCACACTGTGTGAGGACTGGGTGGTGCTTCTCAAAGCACTTTGAAGAGGTATCTGCCCCACCTTCAGCAACAATATTGCTGGAGGAAAGCAGCTGCCAGTCATTATTACTCCGCTGTAGACACTCTTTTTTCTCTGGCAGCTTTTACCATTTCTTTTTTTCTTTTATCTTGGATGTTCTAAAAATTTACAGTGCTGTGAGTTGGTCTAGATTTTATTTTTCCAGCTTGATATTCAGAGGGCATTTTCCATCTGAATGAAGATTTTTTTACTCTCTTTTGAGTCCAAAAAACTCTCAGTTATTATCTTTCCTAATAATGTTTTTTCCATCCTTCTCATTTTATCTTGTTCTGGATTTCCTATTAAATATACACTGGATTGTCTCAATACAGCCTCCATGACTCCTGACAGATCTTTGATATTTTTTTCTTTTAGTCCTATTGTGCTGTGTTTTGGTGAAGGCTTCAGTATTGTATTCTAATCCACTACCTCAAAATGTCCCAAATGACAGCTGTCATTTCCTACCATCACCACACCCTGCCTTCCAAACTATTTCTCCTCCTGTATTCCTTATGTCCATGAGTGGCCTTACCATCTGTCAGCAATCTTGATTCCTTCTCCTGGGCTTACCCTCTGCTAATCCTCAATACTATTATCAGAACAATTTTAAAAGAATACAATCATACCTAAAACATATCAGTGGTATCCCACTGACCTTAGAAGCCACTCGGGATATCGTCCCTGCTCACCCCATTGGCCTCATATTTCTACATTTCCCCTCTTATGCTCTGCCTTCCAGTTATTCATTCATTCAATATGTATTTCTATGTACTGGGTGCCTATAATGTGCTAACTACTCTTCCAGGCCTTGGCATACTTTAGTAAACAAAGCAAGCCAGAAAATCCTCTTGATGGAACTTAGTAGGGGAGATAGTAAACAAAATAAGCAAAGTGTATATAGTGTGTCAGAGGTAATAAATGCAATGGAAAAAATAAAGCAAGGGAGGGGAATTCTGGGGGTGGAAGATGGGCGATGGGAATTTAAATGGAAATAGAAGGCTTTACTGAGATGGTGATATCTGCAAGAAGACATGAAAGACTTGAGGGTGCAAGCAATGAAATTAGAAGAAAGAGCATTGAAATGAGAAGGAGCATCAAACGCAAAGTTGTCGAAGTGAGAAAATATTTACTCCTCGGAGAAACATTAAGGGGCCGGGTATAGTGGCTCATGTCTGTGATCTTAGCACTCCAGGAGGCCGAGGCAGGAGGATAGCAGAGTTCAAGATCAGCTTGAACAAGAGTGAGACCCGACTCTTCAAATTAAAAAAAAAAAAAACATTAAGGATATCAACATGGCTGAGCGGATTGGGAAGGGCAGGAAGTAGGAGGAGAGGTTGGGGCCTCTTAGGCCATATATGGCATAGGCTTTTACTCTGAGTGCCAGGCAGAACAATGACACAATCTAATTTTTATTTTAGAAGAAGCACACTGTCCGCTATGTGAAGAACAGACTGTAGGGAACAAGGAAGTAAGGAGACCAGTTAGGAGGCTATTGCAAAAATCCAGGCTTGAGATGATGATAACTTGGATGGGATGATAGTAGTAGAAGTGGTGAGAAATAGTCACATTCTGGATATATTTTGAAGGACTTCACCAAAAGCTTGTGCTAATTACAGTTTTAGGTCCTGAAGATACTTCTAGGAACAACTAGACAGAAACCCCTACCAGGACTGACTGAAAGGTTGGATAGGGTACATAAAAGAAAAAGTGGCGGCAAAGATGAGTCAAAGGTTTCTGGCCTGAGCAACTTAAAAGATGGAATGGCCATTAACAGGGATGGAGGAGATGAGCAGGAAGAACAGATTTTAGAGGTAAAATTAGGAGACCAATTTCAGAGTATGAAGGTGTAGATGCTCATTAAGACTTGCTCATGAAGATGTCAAATGAGTATTTAGATATATGAGTATGGAGTAAAGGGCAGGGGTCTTGGCTACATACACACTTGGGGAATGATTGGTATATACGTAGTATTAAAAGCCATGAGAGTGGGTAAAGTCAGCTCTAAAGGAATGTGGACAGAAAAGAGAAGAGATTTAAGCACTGAATCCTGGGCTACTCCAAGTGATCAGGGAAATTAGGAGGAATTGGCAAAGGAACTGAAGAGTAACTATAAGAAAGGAGAAAACCAGGAGAGTGTGGCATTCTGGAAGCCAGAGGAGATAGTGTTTCAAAGATAAGAAAGTGATCAACTTGTTAAGTGCATTTGAGGACTGAGAATTAGCCATGGGGATGTGGAAGTCACGGGTTACCTTGAGGAGCACACGTGCAATGGAGTAGTTGGGAAAAGACTTCTTACAGTGAGTTCAAGAGAGAACTGGATTTGTACACTGATGTTCATGGCAGCACTATTCACAACAGCTAAAATGTGGAAGCAACCCAAGTGTCCATCAACAGAGGGATGAATAAGCAAAATGTGGTATACACATACAAGGTGATATTACTCAGCCTTATAAAGGAAAGACATTCTGACATATGTTACAACATGAATGAACCTTGAGGACATTATGCTAAGTGAAATAAGCCAGTCACAAAAGGACAAATACTCTATGATTTCGTAACTTATAGGAGATACTCAGAATAGTCAAAATCATAGAGACAGAAAGTAGAATGGTGCTTACTAGGGTCTGGGAGGAAGGAGGAATAGGAGTGATCATTTAATGGACATGGAATTTGAGTTTTACCAGACGAAAAGAGTTTCGGAGCTGGATGGTGGTGATGGTTGCATGACATTATGAATGTTTTTAATGCCACTGAATTGTACACTTAAACGTGTTAAAGATGGGAAATTTTATGTCATGTGTATTTTGTCACAGTAAAAAACAGTTGGGGACAGAGAGAGAACTGGAGCCAGCAAGGATTCCTTTAAAGAGTTTTCTAAAAGGGGGCAAAGAAATAGAACAGTAGCTGAAGAAGGAAAGTGCATTCAGAAAGAGGCTTTTTGTTGTTTGTAACATAGTGTATTAGTTTTCTATTGCTGATATAACAAGCTACCCCAAACTTAGTGGCTTACAACAACACAATTTAAATTATCTTCGAGTTCTGTAGGTTAGAAGTTCAACGTGGATCTCACTGAGCTAAAATCAATGTGTCAGTGGGACTCTCACTGAGCTAAAATCAATGTGTCAGTGGGACTCTGTTCCTTTCTGGAGGCTCTAGGGGAGAATCTGTTTCTCTGCCTTTTCCAGTGTCTAGAGGCCTCCTGCATTCCTTGGCTTCTGGGCCCTTCCACCATATTTAAAGTTAGCAACACTCTATCTCTTTGACTATTATTCCACAGTCACATCTTTCACTGGAAGTCCTCTTCAGCTTCCTTTTTCCACTTTTAAGACCCTTTGTGATTACATTGGGTCCACTGGGATAATACAGAATCATCTCCTTATTTTAAGGTCAGCTCATTAGTAACCTTAATTACATCTTCTCCCTTAATTCTCCCTTGCCATGTAACTTAACATCTTCACAGGGTCTGGGAATTAGGATGTGGATATCTTTTGGGGGGAGCATTATTTGTCCACCCCATACGGGATACAGTACAGCATCCTTGTTTATGGGAATAATCCAATAGAGAGAACTTGATGCAAGAGAGAGCAGAATTGTTGGTGTGACCTGAGTGAGAAAATGGGAGAACTGGCTTTCTATAGGACCAAGAAGAGTTCCTCTCTAGTTACTATAAGAGTGAGAAGAGTTCCTCTCTAGTTAACATGGGGAGGAGAGAGAAGACAACACATGGGGACATATGTTGGCAAATGGGTAAATGTGCTGGTGGGAGCTTGGAGAATCATTCTTTTCTCAGTGACTTAGAAGCAAGGTCATCAACTGAGAGTGAGGATGTGGTGTAAGGTGTTAGAGGTATAAGGAGATAGAAGTTATAAAAGGGACAGCCGGCAGTGGTGGCTCATGCCTATAATCCTAGCATTCTTGGGGCTGAGGTGGAAGGATCACTTGAGCTCAGCAGTTTGAGGTTGCAGTGAGCTATGATGATGCCATTGCACTCCAACCAGGGTGACAAAGCAAGACTCTGTCTCAAAAAAAAAAGTTATAAAAGTGACATCTAAGAAAACAGTAGCATGAGAAGACTAGAGACATACCATGAGCATTGAAGGCCCACTTAAAGTCTGTGGTCATTAATTTAAAGTGCGAATGTTCAGCTTGTTTCCTCCAGTCAAGTAGATAAAGAATTAGTATATTAATTAGTCGGAGTAGGCTAATTGCTCTACAAATCTCAAATTTCAATGCCTCAACAGAACCAAAGTTGATTTCTCAGAAATTTACATGGATTATCTCACTTGATCCTTACAACCACTGAATAAAGTAGCATTATTATGCCCTTTTTCAGATGAGGAAACTAAAGAATTGGCTAAAGTAAGCCTAAACTATAGTTTTTGTTTTAGGTGTTAGTTTCATTGGGGGGGGTGTTCAAAAATAATATTTGTATCATAAAATTAATTCAGTAATTACAATTTGATCACTACATTCATTCATTAACAAACTATTATTAGTACCCACAATGTTAAGCTATGTATTTCAAAACAGCTTATGATGTTAGGAATCTTTGTCTTTTAACAACTGGACAAGTATTTCTTCAATTAATTATCAGGGCCAGATAAGTTATTATCTATTTAATTCTTATTTCTTCTTTTGATTTGTTTTACTCATTATTGTCTATTCTTGCATTTTATTCTCGCTTACTATTTTAACTTTTCTAAGAATTTATCTATTGAACTTATTTTTTCAAATTTACTAGTATGAAAATAATAAGTTTTCCCAAATATGCTTAATTCAATTTCACATAATTTCTTTTTTCTTATTCATCATTTATGAATTTAAAAATAATTTTGATTAAATTAAATAAAACAATTCTTTACATATGTAGAATTTTCTATACCTTTTCAATACACTAGTCTTGATGGTAGTCTTGATGTTCTAAAATTAATTTCCACATAGATTTAACTCCCTTAATCATTTAATACAAAGCAGCTCCTCCTACTGGTTTTCTGGAGTAATGCTAACTGTTACAGCATACATATTTCACATATGAAGAATGAGAATTCCACTTACACAGGCAAAACCGGAACATAAGCCATGTCGCTCAACATTCAATAGTTTCTTACATGCAATAAAAATTGTGGTGGGGAGTAGTGCTCACGCCTGTAATCCTAGCACTTTGGGAGGCCAAGGCAGGAGAATGGCCTGAGGCCAGGAGCTCAAGACCAACCTGGGCAACACAGTGAGACCCTGTCTCTACCAAAAAAAAAAAAAAAAAATTAATAAAAGAATTAATCCGGCATGGTGGTGTGCACTTGTAGTCCTATCTACTGGGAAGGGGAGGCTGAGGCAGGAGGATCACCTGAGCCCAGGAGTTTGACGTTACAGTGAGCTATGATCCAGCCACTGTACTCCAGCAGCCTGGGCAACAGAACTAGACCCTGTCAAAAAAAAAAAAATTAAATTTTTAAAAATGCAAGTGATCAATATAAAACTATCATTGATTTCGGTCATAAATATCAAGGATCAATTCTGCTATGCTTCCTCGCTGTTGTTTGGGTAACGAGTTTCCCTACTTTATTTAGACCAAAGGAGAAAGCACAGTATAGTAAAATAACTGCGTCCTTTCTGTTCCATTCCTTTAGCCCCCCACTCCCTGTTCCCATCCCCAACGTAGTAGCTATGCTCTATTTCAAAAAGCATAAACTGCAGCCCTCATCAGGGCTTGGCAATGCAGCTGCTGTTTAATACCTGTTGACTGAGTGGAAGACAAACAAACAAGGAAATTATTCGACACTAGAGAAGCAAAAGCATGTTGTCTTCAAGCTGAAGGGACAGCGGAACCGTCCCCGTCATTGTGATCTAGTTTTCCTTCTGGAGGGCACGTTAGCAGTGGTGGGGCACCACCCTGTGGAGGTGGCTATGCACTGCAGGTGCTGGCACTGCCGCCCGAGCCACACTCGGAGAACAAACTGCACCCTCCCCGCCCCGCGCAATAAACACACCACGCAGCTCTGTGGAGTCTGCTCCGCCACCGCCTGCCCCGGCTCTGCGTCCCCACCGTCGCTGAGAAGAGTCACTTAAGACCCCTGTAAATCGATGGCTTCCAGGACCTGCCCTTAAAGCTTCTGATCCAGTGGGTTGGAGACCCATTATTTGCCTCATTAACGAGTATTCCAAGTAATTCTTACTATCAGGGAAGTCTGGGAAACAAATCACCTTTCTGTCAGTCGCCTATGGAATTAGGGCAGTTATTTTTCCACAGTGACTTGATCTCTCAGTTAACTTTGGAATATGCTACTGGTTAACAGACGGAATGCTCCTCAGTTCCTTCAAGACAGAAGCCACAGATCACTTAGCACTACTATCTCGCTTCCCCCGCGCCTACACTAACGCCTTCCTTCTCAGGACTGAAGTGGGGGCCGCCTTCCGCGCCGAGGACCCCAGCGCCGCCCCGGGCTTCGGAACCGTTCTGGCCACGGGAGCCACACTAGTCACTGCACGCCGGTGCTGGGACGGCGACCCGAGTGTCAGGGGACCCGAATCGCACCTTCGGAGATGAGGTCAGAGAGCCGGGGCGGCCAGAACGACAGTCTTCTCACCAGACTCAGCGCGGGAAAAGAAAAGTCGGGGAGGGCTTTCTCTTTTCCTCTAACAAGAAGCACCAGTTTCAAGCTGTTCTGGGCAAGGCAAACTGAGACTAGATCCAACTTTTTATTCCTATTCCCACCAAGCCGCAAGCCCTCATCATAGAGGTGGCGGCAAACGTCGCCCGTCTTCCTCCCTAGTCGCACCCAAGTCGCGCTGTCCTTGTTAGTCGGGGTGAGAGAGCATCTGGCAGGGGAGAGCGGTAGCAGACGTTTTTGAAGAGTTAGTCTTCAGCCTAACTGAAGTGGCTACTCGCGACCTTATGAAATCTGTCTGGGCCAAAAAGAGAGTGGGAGCTTGGCTGAGGGCCCTCGGGACTTCATAACGTTTCCTTCTGTATGGATGGGATGGGGCTTTTCATAAAATAACACCGCACGAAGAGCGCAAATCGCTTGCACAAAGCACCCTCACAGGTGGCACGTACAGCTCCGGAACCCTGAGGCAGAGAACCAGACTCTGTGCGGAGAGTCACGCGCAGGCGCACTGCCGCCCCGCAGCTGGAGCCGGAGGCTCAGGGGCGTGGCGAAGGAAAGTCACGTGTGCCCTGCAGCTGGCTCGGCGATTTCCCTACATGGACTTGTGCTAAAGGGCCCCGCCCCTCGCCGTGCCCTGGAATGTGCGAGGAGGCCAAGCCACAGGACAGACGCAACCATCTGCGGAAAGGAAAGGGGGGAAAATTTTGTACACTGCAAGAAGAGGTACAAAAAAGACAGAAACTCAGTAATCGGACCCAACGAATCATTATATATTCCCCTATGTTCTAAGTCACCCGCTTTATAATTCTTTCCAGAGCACTTGGTCAATACTGCGCCCACTGACCACACTGGTAACTTCCCTCCCCGCCGCCCTTCCATTCAGACGCGCCCACTCTGTTAGCCAAGAATGGTGACCAGGCTTCCTTCCGGTTTGCTAAGCGGAGGCCGGAAGTGTTGGTTTTCCGCGGCTCTTGGAGTAGAAGGGTGGTGAAAGCGGCAGCAAAGGGATCACAATACGATACATTGCTTGTATTCTTGTGGCTGTGCAGGGTGAGTGGTGCTTGCGGTCGGGCGCGTCAGTCCCATCTCGGTGTTCCATCTCCGCGGGGCTGGCTGGGAGGGCAGCGGGGCTCCGCGTACCTGGGCAGGTGGACCAGCGGGACCCCCACTTTCGAACTCAAGGGGTCAGCCCTGGGACCCAAGGCCGGGGCCGGAAGTGGCCCAGACGCCAAATTCGCTCCTGTGCCCAAACTTGGAGCTCTGGAAATGTGGCTTAGCTCGCTGGCGCCTTGAGCTTGGGAGGCTGCCGGTCCCGCGAAACCCGAGCCCTGCATAGCTGACTCTCCAGGACTATGTTTAGTCTCTAACGTAAACTTGCCCGATTCAAGAGAGTCTGCGCAAAAACCGTAGCCCACTGCTTCCCTGCTGCAGTTGTTGCAGTTGTGTGGCTACGTTTAGTAGGCATAACCCAACTTAAATTTGGAACTTTCTCAGTTCAGCCTGTGACTAGAACTTTTTTCTTTCAAAGAGGGGTTTGGGGTTTAGTTTGCGGTGCAAGGAAGAACTTCCCAAATACAATCACTTGAGCCTTTTGGGTGGAGACTTCTGGCTAAGTCAATTCGCCAAAGAATTGTTTTCTTTTAAAGTAGTTTAGTGGGTATATTAAAGTATATATCAGTTCTTTAGAAACCTATAGGTTCAGTTGAGATTTTAACTTCTTAAGTGCAAAAAGTTTTATATCTAAAGGTGAAGAAAGCGAGTATTTCTTAAAAGTACTGGTATTAGTTTCATTTTCTGGAAGGCCTTTGATAAACGTTAATCAGAAAAGCATTTCATTTCCAAAACCGAGCCTTTGTTAATCCTTACAACTAATTGTCAAGTGGTGAGAACTTTTTGGGTGTGGCAGTCTTCAGAGAACTAATCCTACCTTCAACCGGAAGTTTGCATGAGAAATGAAAACTTGGTTTAGTTGGAAGGGAAGCACCGACTTGAAAATATATTTTTTAAAAACTGTGATTAGCACTGAAAAAATTACTTAGGTTTTTAAAAAGTGCATAGTGCGTTGATTAAATGAGACTAGATTTGGTCAAGATTTGGAAAGCAGACCAAACACTAGGTACTACCACATTATGCGGTGTTTTGTAAGATGGGAAGTTTTCTTATTAAAGAATATATCATATTTTTTTCTTAGAATATTATGAAATTGAATGTTCTGTAGAAAAAATTCTAGATTATTTTACATTTACTAACAATATAACTGCTGGCCTGTAGGATTCTAACTAGAGCAATCTAATGTATATAGTAGTATGGGTTAGTCCCATTTTATAAGTGGAACCATAGTTTCTAGAGACTTTGAAAAATATTCTAGTTGCTCATGGTGTGTGGGGCAAACCTCTTTGAGAAGTTCTGTCTTACATTTCTCCCACCTGGTAATCTAACTCTTCCTTACATGGTTTGTATCCCTCCTTTTGTCATAGCCTTAATGATTCTCTTCCTATCTCATCAGGCTGAAAATAAAATTACAAATTCATTGCCACCCACATTCTCCTCCCTTGGCTTAAAACAAGGTTGTGTTCCTTTAGATCTGTAAATTGAATCTTCTTGACTGCCCTTTATTCATTTTCTCATGCATCTGAAATCCTTGTGCCTTTTGTAGATGCCAGCTCTGTAAGTCTCCCTCCTTTCAAGTTCCATGCAACAAATACCCCTTCACACCAAAGATTTTTTATTAAATCCTTCAGAAATAAAGACTGAACTTTATGGTTGAGGAACATCATAATTAGGATATTTCAGGTGTTTACCTGGATATCTTCCCATCTTAAATGAAGAATATTTACATTGATTTTTTTAAATACTTTAAATTTTATTTTACCATAGCTTTTTTTTTTTTTTTTTTTGAGACAGAGTCTCGCTTTGTTGTCCAGGCTAGAGTGAGTGCCGTGGCGTCAGCCTAGCTCACAGCAACCTCAAACTCCTGGGCTCGAGCAATCCTCCTGCCTCAGCCTCCCGAGTAGCTGGGACTACAGGCATGCGCCACCATGCCCGGCTAATTTTTTTTATATATATATCAGTTGGCCAATTAATTTCTTTCTATTTATAGTAGAGATGGGGTCTTGCTCTTCCTCAGGCTGGTTTTGAACTCCTGACCTTGAGCAATCCGCCCGCCTCGGCCTCCCAGAGAGCTAGGATTACAGGCGTGAGCCACCGCGCCCGGCTTTACCATAGCTTTTTTTTTTTAATTTTTTGAGACAGAGTCTCACTTTTGTTCCCTAGGCTAGAGTGAGTGCCGTGGCCTCAGCCTAGCTCACAGCAACCTCAAACTCCTGGGCTCAAGCAATCCTGCTGCCTCAGCCTCCCGAGTAGCTGGGACTACAGGCATGCACCACGATGCCTGGCTAATTTTTTCCATATGTATTAGTTGGCCAATTAATTTCTATTTCTTTCTATTTATAGTAGAGACAGGGGTCTCACTCTTGCTCAGGCTGGTTTCAAACTCCTGACCTTGAGCAATCTGCCCGCCTTGGTCTCCCAGAGTGCTAGGATTACAGGCGTGAGCCACTGCACCCGGCCTACCATAGCTTTTTAAACTTTAAATGAGAATTGTGCATTTCCTGAAGGCCTGCTACTTGAAGAGTAGCAGCCTTATTTGAGGGAAAGTAAAATGGACAACAAACTAGAATTATTGCAAAGAGTACACTGACAGTATAAAAAATGATCTGCTCCTTGAAATCATAGCAGTGGGCCTGACTTCACTCCCTTCACCAGTGATTGTTCCATCTATACTTTCAGTGTGGCAGGAAAAAATAAACCCCAGTTTCCTTATTTTGGAACAATGACTATGAAGCTGAACTCAATTGCTAAAAAGCTCCAGATTTCTGGTGGGAGATAAACTTTGAGAAAATAAAGGCCCAGGTAGTAACTTGCCCAACATCACACTGTCAGTTTTTGGTAGAATTAGTAAATTTGTTAGAATTAAGACTAACACTTGAATCTCTTAATTCTAATGGTGTCTTTGTAGCTTCTAAATGATACCACACAGGGTTTTTTAAGGTCTTCCTCTGCCCCGAGTCTTTTAAATACTCACAAAGGCCGGACGCGGTGGCGCGCACCTGTAGTCCCAGCTACTCGGGAGGCTGAGATGGGAGGATCGCTTGAGCCCAGGAGTTCTGGGCTGTAGTGCGCTATGCCGATCGGGTGTCCGCACTAAGTTCGGCATCAATATGGTGACCTCCCGGGAGCGGGGGACCACCAGGTTGCCTAAGGAGGGGTGAACCGGCCCAGGTCGGAAACGGAGCAGGTCAAAACTCCGTGCTGATCAGTAGTGGGATCGCGCCTGTGAATAGCCACTACACTCCAGGAGCCTGGGCAACATAGCGAGACCCCGTCTCTAAAAAAAAAAAAAAAAAATACTCACAAAGATCTTTTTTGAACTCATGGTATTTGATAATCATGCACCATCCTAGGAGTTATTTTTCATTATTGTCGCACATTATTTTAACTTTAGAGTAATTCCTCTGGAATGAAAACTATGACTCATTTCATAGAGTAAACCAATCATCTCATTTCTTTATAGTTGCTTCCCCAACTGTATTTTAAGCTCCTTGAAGATAGAACACATGCCTTAAATTTCTTAACTAGTTTTCAGCAGTAATGGTGTTTGATACATGTTAGTGTATGTAGTTAACCAATCATACTAAGGTTGGTGAAATGACGTACTGAATGAGCTAAAGAAGAGTTCTGTGTAATACCATTCACAGTACTGACTCACCCAAAAAAAACCACCTTTTTTTTTTAACTTCTAAAAACTATTTCATTTGCAAATTAAAAAAATGCATGATTAAAAGAAAAGAAAATTCATCAGAATTCAAAAAACATATATTACTTGACACCCAAAGCTAAGCATTTTGGAAAGTTATCTAGAGGACCACCAGGTTTAGTAATAGAAGATTTTGTGGATTAAAAAAATCAGTTATGTCAACCATTTGACCTATAATTCTCATCAGTTCCTTTGTTCTTAAAATAGCTAACATTACTTCATCGTTAGGAGAAGACAATGTTGTCACATAAAACAGACTATATTTAAAGATGTCCTTTGGCCTGCAAAGACATGACATGCCTCACATTAAAGAGAGGGAGGCTAGTAAATGTGTGCCACTTATTGGGTCTCAACCACCCACCCCAAGTCCTTGAGTACATTTAAGAGTTGAAGGAATAATATACTCCATAACTCCTTTTAGTTTTTAAGACAACATTTAGAATAGAGGGGAAAAGTATAACTCTATGTAGTTTAGATAATAATGGGATTTACTACCCTCAAAAAGAGTTACAGAATGAAAACAGCATTCTGGAATGGCTTAAATAAGTCATTAAAGGTAGCCTCCTAAAAGATGATTAAAGGATTCTAGGAAATTTGGGGAGAGTATATATCATGATTTCTGGGTTGTGTAGGGTATATCTTTCCAACAACACATTCCAGTCCATTGCCATAAAGTGCTATATTGGATGGACTGGAATTTGTGACTACCCTTTGTGGAATTTCCTACTAAAATCTGAAAACAGATTTAGCTTAAA